GACGTTAGAGCCACAGGTCTGTAGTCATTAAGTCCAGTAATTTTGGGTTTCTTTGGGACGGGGATGATGGTGAAGCGTTTGAAGCATGAGGGGACTTCTCACAGCTCCAGTGATCTGTTGAAAATCTGTGTGAAGATGGGGGCCAGCTGGTCAGCACAGGATTTCAGACAGACTGGTGTAACAATTACACCACAATAAAGGATGCATATCACTCCGTCCCATGGGCAGCTTTGGGGCTCTCTGATCACTGTTTAGTTCATCTTATACCGACCTACAGGCAGAAACTGCCTATTCAAACAGAGCGTTCTGATGAGGAGGGTTAAAACAGGACAGAAACCAGCCTATTACTGCTAAATTATGATGTTTTTGTTATCTAAAAATCTTGATAACATTATAAGTGGACCTCAGAGAACAGTACAAAATAATAAAAAGGCAGATCATGACCCCTTTAAATAGTATCAGTTTTGTTTATGTACTATTTATGTAGTATTTTAGTATATTTTTAATTAGCATTTATTTTTATATTTTACCTTCTCATTTTAATTTGTATGTACTTTTATAATTGTTATTAATATAATTTTTATTTATATAGCTTTAATTTAGTTTTATTTCCGTTTTCCGTAAAACATATTTAGTTTTATGTCTTTCCGTACCAAGACAAAATGTCTAAATTAAGTTTTTTTTTCTTTACTATTTATGTATTTTTTATTTATATACTGTTATAGTATTTATTAATATTTTGAATGATTTTTTTTTTATATTTTCAGTTTTTAATTTAATTTTAGTTTTATTTTAGTAATTTTATGTGTTTTTGTCATTTCAATTAGTATTTCTATCTAGGCTTTAATTATTATTATTATTATTATTATTTTAGTTTTAGTTTTAGTTTTAATAATTGTAATACTTATTTTATTTCAGTTAGTTGCCAAGGTGAAATTTCTAATTTTTGATTTTTGTTCTAATTTTTGTTCTGTCATTTTAAGTTCAAGTGTTTCTTCTAATATTTATATTTTATTTTATTTTAGCTTCATTTCAGCCAGTGGAAATGTGTTTTAATCGTTTTAGTGAACAAAAACATTTTCATTTCAGTAGTTGTTTTTTTATTTCAAGAATTTATAATGTTTATAAATTATTATTTCTTTAATTCTTTTTTTATTTCAGTTTTAGTTTTAGTAATGTTAATACGTCAGTATTTCAGTTAGTTGCTATGTACTGCATTTTGCACATTAGTGAGCTTGAGCATTAGTTTTTTTGTTTTTGTTTGCATGAACCTTTTTCGTCTCTCTGGGTCTTGGATGGTTGCATTCTTTAATGCAAACACAACCGTGCCACATTGACACAACACCATCACCTTGTCAGCACAGAACCGGCACACATCACAGCCGAGCGGCATTGTGTCGCTCACACGGACCCCGGAATGTTTGGCACCGCTTCCTGCAGCATTGTTCCGAAATGGAGTTTGAATGCGCGACTGTTCTGTGTGGCCTAATTTGAACTGTGATATTTCATGCTGGCACGTATATAAAACTACTGATT